TCTTACAATATGCTATAACAAATTATTATTAATTGCTTACTATTGTTTATGAGCAAAAATATATCCAACTCATGCCCTCAATGAGTTTGCTTATTAGAAAAGGAGAAAGATATCATTCGAATAATTGTATAATCAATTGTAAAAATGCAACTGCAACCAGTATTAAAAAGTCCACAGTTTTGTGAACCTACGATAAAGAGGCTTGATTTAGGCTTATGGTGAAGGATTTTGAGCAGAAATCTAAGGAAAGTTTAAAAGTTAACTTGATTTTTTTAAAAAAATAAAAAAAGACTGCTCCATGAGAGTACATCATCATTTTAAAACATGTAGAAGAAATTATTTGGACCCTTTACACACATAAAATATACTTTGTATGGTTCTACTCATCATTGATATTTATTTATTTATTTGTTTGTTTATTTATTTATTTTTATTTTTATTTTTTTTAGATTTTTTATTTATTTATCTGAGAGAGAGAATGGGAGACAGAGAGCATGAGAGGGGGAGGATCAGAGGGAGAAGCAGACTCCCCGCTGAGCAGGCAGTCCGATGTGGGACTCGATCCCGGGACTCCAGGATCATGACCTGAGCCGAAGGCAGTTGCTTAACCAACTGAGCCACCCAGGCGCCCCCATTTGTATTTATTAAGATGCATTTTATGACCAATAAGATGGGCTTGTTTGATCATTTGGTGTGCACTGGGGAAGAATGAGTATTCTGCCATTTCATGTAGTGTTCTATCAAATATTGTAAATTGCTTACTGAAATCCCAACTGTAGCTATAGATTCATTTCTCCTTTCAAATCAGCCAGTTTTTGATTCATATATTTTGATGGTCTCTTATTCGGTGTAAATAAACATTTATGATTATTAAGTTCACATGATGAACTGACCACTTGATCATTATGAAATCACCTTCTTTATTTCTGGTAGTATTTTTTGCTCTGAATATACACATATATATTAAAATAACCACCCCAACATTCTTTTAATTAGCATCAGCATGACAAACTTTTTCCCACCCTTGTATCTATTTGTCTTTATATTTAGTGCAATTCTCTTTTTTTTTTAAAGATTATTTATTTTAGAGAGAAAAAAAGAGAGAGCACATGCAAGTGGGGAGAGGGGCAGAATTTGAGAGAGAGAGAGAATCCTCAAGCAGACCCCATGCCAGGCGCATCCATCCCAGGACCCTGCGACCATAACCTGAGCTGAAATCAAGAGTCGGATGCTTAACCAACTGTACAACCCAGGTGCCCCTGGTGCATCTTTTAATGTAATTGTTGTGCTTTTAGATCCAATCTGATAATCTCTGCCTTTTGTGTCTTTAAAGCACTTACATTTAATGTAGCTATTCATATAATTAGGCTTAAAGTCTATCATTTTGCTATTTGTTTTCTATTTCCCTCATCTCTTTTTTTCTCCTTCATTTTTTTCTGCTTGTTTTAGATTTGTTAATATTACTTAGGTTCTCTTTTATCTATTTTATTGGCTTATTAGCTGTAACTCTTTACTTCCATATTTTAGAAGTTGCTTGTATTAGTTTTCTATTGCTGCCATACAAATCACCACAATTCAGTGTCTTAAAATAACACTCATTTGTTATCTCACATTTTCCATGGGTCAGGATTTCAGGCAGTTTCCGTAGGACAGGATTTTTGCATTCTTTTCTGGGTCTTAATAGGGTGGCAACCAAGATGTTAACCTGGCAGGATTCTTTTCGGGAGGCTCAATTAGGGAATAATTTGCTTCCAAGAAACACTTTAGCCTCTTGTGATTGTGTGATGGAGGGCCCCATCTTACTAGCCACTGGCTAGAATCTATTTTGGGGTCCAAGAGCCTCTGTGATCCTCACCACTGATGGTTCCAACAGGCCTGTTTGCTTCTTCAAGGCCCGCAGGAGAGCTCCCTCTCGGGGTTGCTGCGGAGCATGATGTCACGAAATGACATCATCGGAGTGATGTATTTTGCCTAATGTAGCCTAATCAACAGATGGATACCCCACCACCAGTACTATATTCTATTGCTTAGAAACAAGTCCTAGGTTTCACCAAGAAAGATTATACAAGAGTAACTCATTGGTGGCCACCCTGGGGTATCCGCACCACTTCTTAAAGAGTTACAGTCCACGGCTTTCTTTTACCAGTCTACTTTCACCTGATACACAGCTTTACATAAATGACAAGATGTGTAATTCACTTTTGTTTCTTCCCCCCGACCCTTTTTTTCTGCTGCATTTTACTTTTGTATATGTTATAAATCCTACATTATTGCTGTTTTTATTAATGTAGCTCATTAACTTTTTTTTTAAGATTTTATTTAGTTGAGAGGGAGAGAGAGAGCACAGCAGGAGGAGTGGCAGGCAGAGGAGAAGCAGGCTCCCTGCTTAGCAAGGAGCCCCATGTGGGACTCGATCCCAGGCCCCTGAGATCATAACCTGAGCCGAAGGCAGATGCTTAACCAACTGAGCCACCCAGGTGCCCTGTAGTTCATTATCTTTTTTAAAAAAGATTTAAGTATTAAAAAAGACACATTTTTATTCATGTAGTTACCATTTCTGGTGTTGTTCATTTCTCTGTAGACAATCAGATTTCATCTAATGTCATTTCCTTCTGCCTAATAAGAGTTCTTTCACATTTCTTGTAGTGTGGATCTGCTAATGATAAATTCCTTCAGCTTTTGTATGTCTGAATGTGTCTTTAGTTAACCTTCGTTTTCTGGAAGGTTTGCTTCCATTTATTTTTTATTTATTTATTTTCTAGCGGTACTTTAAAAATGTTGCTTCACTATGGTGTTTCTTGCATTGTTTGCAATAAGAAAGCTACTATAATTCTTATTTTTGTTTCTTTGTATATAACATACACTCTCCCCACCCTCCTCCCCCCAGCTGCTTTCAAGAATTAAAAAAAATTAAAAAAAAAAGATTTTCTCCTATCAATGGTTTCAAGCTATACAGTTATGTAGGTCTTAGTATAGTTTTCTTCATGTTTGTGTTTAGGTTTTATCGAATTTCATTTTCATCAAATTTCAAATTCTTTGGTCATTATTACTTACTTACTTATTACTTTGTCCTCTTGCCTCCTTCAGGGACTTCATTTATAAGTATATTAAGCTGTTACAAACTGTCCCACAGCTTACTGTATTTTGTTCTATTTCATTTTGTTTTAATATTCTATAATTCATGTTAGTTTCTAAACCAAAGTCTTCAATTTCATTTTTTTCTTTATGTAATGTTTAATCTGCTACTAACCTATTTTCATCTATCACATTGTAATTTTCACCACTGTAGTTTTCACAAGTTTGATTTAGATCTTTATTATATATTTCATATCTCTGAAAGAGCTTTATGGAGACCCATTTAAGTGTAAATCGAATGGCTTTTTGTATACAATGTGTAACCTCTCCATAATCTAATTTTAGGACATTTTAATTTACCCCTACAAGAAACCCTATGTCCCTTTGCAGACCCTCTCCATACCCTAGCCACCCCCCTCCCTCGCCCCACCAGCGCCCCTACCGCCATCCCAGTCCTGGACAACCACTAGTCTACTTTCTCATTCCTTAGATTTGCCTAATCTGATCATTTCATATAAATGGGATCATACCATATGGTCTTTTGGGACTGTTGTTGTTTTTTTTTTTTCACTTTGCACAATGTTTTCAAGGTTCATCTGTGCTTCAGCATGTATGCCTCATTCTCTGTTATTACTGAAAAATACCCCATTGAATGGATGTAGATTTTGTTTTCCAAGTCACCTGCTGATGGACATTTGGGTTGCTTCTACTTTTTGGCCGTTGTAAATAATACTCTATGGACACCTGTGTACAAGGTTTTTGCGAACACGCTTTCCTTCCTTTTTTTTGATATATGCCTGGAAGTGGAATTGGGTCTATATGATCGCTCTGTGTTTAACATTTTGAGGAACTGCTAAGCTGTTTCCCAAGGCAGATGCATCATTTTATATCCCCACCGGCAGCACCAACATTCCACTTTCTGCACATCCTCACCTTTTATTATTTATTTTAATTCTGCTTATTTTTTTGAACATAACTGTTTCCAATATCTTTGCCTGTTTGATTCTAACATCAATTTCTGTTCTGATTAGTGATTGTTTTTTTCCTTCTCATTATGGGTTTTCTTTTCCTCCTTTTTTGCAAACTTGGTGGTTTTTAATTGGATGCCAGACGTTGTAAATTGTACGTTAATGGCTGCTGGACATGTTTCTGTGAATATTATTTTGCTTTGGTCTGTCACATATTTAGGTGATTTGTTCACAGTCTGAGCCGTGAAGTGGCACTAGAGGGGCGACCAGTCTCTGGTACCTGCTCCCCACCGCGGAGGCACGCCTATCTGAGCACTCTACCCCGGGCCCCCAGCTGGTGCAGCTTTCGGCCGAACGGGAGGAGCCGGTCACGGTTCCTGCCTCTCCAGACTCCGCACGCCCTTCCCGGGCAGCCCCCCCCGGGGCCCACGGCGCCCCGCACTCAGCGGACCCTCGACAACTCGTGGAACCCCGGCTGGTGGGCGGGTCCCCAGCTGGTGGGCGGATCCCCGGAGTGGCGGGCAGGCACCAGTAGGCGCGGGGAGACGGACCTCCGGACACGTCGGGAAAGCGACTCGCTCCGGCCCTGGCATCACCGGCCCCCTGCACTTCCAGGATCCCTGTTCTTTCCTACGGATGCTAAGCGTCTGGGGAAACACACCGAGTGTTCTCCCTCTACCACAACATAATTTTTTTAAGGGAACTCAGTGCCCAGAGCCTCCCCTAAAATCCAAACTCAGGGACTTGTTCTCTGTGTCCCGCGAAGTAGGAACCGGCCGCACGGCGCGGGCCTGGCCCACGCCACGCCTCCAGGCTCAGCACCGCCTACGGGCAGCGCGCATGCGCAGGATTCCGGCGCGCCGGCCGCGCCCAGCCACGACCGCGCCGGCGCCAAACATCCAGAGTTCCAACCGCTCGTCCGTGCCTGCCAATCAGAGTGCACGCTGACCCTTGGTTCCCGCCCACTGGCCCCGCAGCCAATCACCTGCCCCGGCGCGCAGCCGCGGCGAATCCAAAGGGCAGTGCGGGCGGGGGACGGAAGAGCAGAAGCCAGCCGCCCGCAGGGATGGAGGAGGCAGAGGCCGGGGCGCGAGCTTCAGCGCTAGAGTAAGCTAGCTGCCAGCCGGGGGCGGGCGGGGAGGGCCCTGCAGGACCCAGGGTACCCCCCGGGGGTCCCGGCACCCCGCTGTGCCGGCCGCGGCGAATGCGAGAGGGACTGCGCTCTCCCGGCGCGCGCACAACACGGCGAGTTCCCGCGCACTTGACGTCCCCTCGCGGGTAGCGGCGTCCTCGCAGGACACGTATGGGAGGGTCACTTAGCTTCTCTGCCCCCGCGTCCATGCGCATTCCCCCATCCTTGCCTGCCTGGGGGGCGCTGCAGGCCCCAGCGGGGAAGGACCAGGAGAGCCTGGAACCAACCTCCTCAGACCCTGCCCCAGGACGCTCCCTGTCTGGGACCCCCGCTGCCCATCAGAGCGGGGCCTCTTGTCTTCCTGTCCCTGTGTTTCCCTGACTCTTCTTGCTCTGCTTAGCTTTGCTCAGGGCACGTATTGTCTTTATACACACGCCGTTCCTGCTCCCAGATACCCTGCAGGCTACCGGTCAGGGCAAGACTTGGCATTGGTACGGGTCTGTACGCGTCTGTGCACGCCAGCGGGCCAGGACGAGCACCCCAGGAGTCTCCCGTTTCCCCTGTCTGCTTCACCTCAGGGCCCTGGCCAAGCTGGCAGACATCCTGGAGCCCATCGGCCGGCAAGAGGAGGCAGAACTGCCGGCCCAGATCCTGGCGGAGTTTGTGATGGTATGTGCAGGATGGGCAGCTGGGGCCTCTCCTGGGTCTTCTCCGGGAGCTACTGGGCAGCACCGATGGCGGGCGCCCTGGAAGGCAGTCTCAGCCTGCGGCACACACAGGTAATGATGTTCCCTGCCTCTGCCCACTCTCCAAACAGGACTCCCGCAAGAAGGACAAGCTGCTCTGCAGCCAGCTTCAGGTAGTAGACTTCTTGCAGAATTTCTTGGCTCAGGAGGACGTTGTCCAAGAACTAGACCCCTTGGCTTCTGAAGACACCAGCCGTGAGTGGGCACCGGGGTGGGATGGGGAAGTAAGGGGATGTCAGTCGGGTCAGCTCTTTGGCTGATGGGAAGACAGAGGCCCAGTGTTGCAGGCAGGCAGGCCATTCTCCCTTATGTTCTCATCCTCGGTGGCTCCTTTCAGGGCAGAAGGCACTTGCGGCCAAGGAGCAATGGAAGGAGCTGAAGGCCACCTACCAAGAGCATGTGGAAGCCATCACAGGTGCCCTGACCCAGGCCTTGCCCACAATGGAGGAGGCTCAGAGGAAGCGGGCGCAGCTCCTGGGAGCCCTGGAAGAGCTCCAGGCCAAGGTGAGCCAGGCTGAGGGGAGAGGAGGGCAGGCAGAGAGGAGGGAAAGGGCATGCATGCTGGGCTGGGCCTACTGGCCACCTCCCAGAATCCAACCAGAAAAACACTCCTCTCCTCCTTGTTCTCCTCCTCTGCTTCCCTACAGAAGCAGGTGGCCACGGAGAGACTGAGGACAGCCCAGAAGCAGTGGCAGCTGCAACAGGTGGGTCCACACCCCTAGGAAAATCTCCCTTCCCCGCCACCGTGCCGTTGCATGGGCTCAGTCCTCTGCCTGGAGTCCCTCTGCCTCTTCTCTTGTGCGGTGTTATAGCACAGGTACCAGCATCCTCACTTCCTGTGTTACGACTTTGGGCCGTCCCCTCACTTCCTGTGCTTCCGGGTCTTGCTTGTGACGTGGAGGCGACATTAGCACCTACGGTACAGAGCTCAGTTGATGAAATCGCTAGCAGAGCAAGTGCTTATGTGGACGCATGGCAGCACATAGCAGACTAAATGAGTTATCATGTTTGTGCCCCTTTTCTCCTGAATGCTTCACACTGGAATAGCTCATTCTCACCCTTTTTCTCTAGGGCCCTTGTTTTGCCTAAAGTGGGTAGGGTCCCTCTTTCCATCTGTGGGTCTGAGCCCCAAGTTGGGTCTAGCCTGGAGGGGTTAAGAGAGTGGCTGTAAGTCCTGCGCATCTGAGGAGCCGTGTCTGCCTTCTCATTCCTGGTAGGAGAAGCACCTTCAGCACCTGGCAGAAGCCTCTGCGGAGGTGAGGCAGCGGCAGAGAGGGACGCAGCAGGAGCTTGAGCGGCTGTCTCAGGAACTTGGAAGACTGCAGGAGCAGGCGGGGCAGAAGCAGGACACGCTTCACAGGTGAGGCTGGGAGTGTGAGCTGCAGACCCAGCGTGGTCCAGTTTCCCTTCCTTACAGCCTGCCTCTCCTTCCAGGCACCAGACCTTCCTCCAGCTGCTGTGTACTCTGCAGGGTCAGCCGCCATTCCCTGAGGCAGAGGCAGAGCTGCCACGGAAGCTGGACCTTCCTGAGGGTGAGCCCCAGGAGCAGAAGCCTGGGGCTATCGTAGGGAAGGACAGGAGTGTGCCGTCCAAGGTGAACTGAGAGGTGGGCCGGGGGCTGGGGAGGTGCAGAAAGAAGCAGGGAGGTAGGCCTCACCCAGCACCCATACCCTGTCTCCGTCCCTAAGGCTGATGGCCCACAGCCTGCTGGAGATGCGAGCTTGCCTGAGCTTCCTGAGGGACAGCAACATGGGAAAGGAACCTAGAGCAGGTCAGACTCCAGCTCAGGCCTTGGTGTCCCTGGACTGCAGGTACGGAAGGAGGGAGACCTCTGGTCTCTGTCTCTGGGCTCTGTTTTCACAGAGGGGACAGGAGGTGGGAAGGAGCAAGGATTTATCTATGGCTGAAGCTTATCGCCACATCCTGTGCCCAGCCTGCCCTGGACCAACCCCTCTCTGTCTTCCTGAATCCCCTAGTCCCACGCTTATTGCAGGATGGACTAGGAACTCCTCTGAGTGCAGCCTGGTTTCTGACCATGATGGGGGTGTGTTCTGGATTCTGTTAGTTAAAAGCCCTAGAGCTCTCAGTTATCTCTTTTCCTATGTTGGTGGGAAGAGCCACACTTGAAGCCAACAGTATGACAGGTGCTGGGACTGGTGTGAATAGAGAGGGTGCAGATGGGAAGGGGGCCCTGGCCTGGAGCCTCCGGGGCTGCTTGTCCAAATCCATATGAATCAAACATGCTGAGCTGATTAATTCGGGGAGAAGGAGAGTGCTTTGTGCAGGTGGTTAGATACGGGAAGATAATTTTAATTGCTGACCCAAACATTGATTGAATCCGTGCTTTGTGCCAGGCCCCTTGCTATGAACTGAAGCTACAGCAGCGGGCTTGTCTGATAGTCCTTGGCTGTGGGGAACATAATGAGCGTGAACAATAAACAGGTCAATACCTGATTGCAGAGTATGGGAAAACAAACTAAAACAATAGTATGGTAAATTTAGAGCGGTAGTAACAAGAGAGACCCTCATCTGCGGGGGGGGGTGTGTGTGTGTTCTTTGTTCTGTCTTTTCGCCTCCGCTCCTCCATGTGTCTCTTGCTGGGTGCAGGGACAGTGGGGGTATAGGCGTGTGGGAGAGATTATCTCCCTGATTGGGAGCGTGGGGCTGCTGGCGAAGAGAGAGGGATACCAGTGACAGCTGCAGTGGGAAACCCATTCTTCAGCTTAGAACAGGACCCTCCCGTGTGAGCAAGACCTAAGCATCTCTGAGAAAGAGACACTGGGGCTTTGCTTTTGGCAAGAGAGTTTCAAGAGACACTGGGCTCTGCTGTGTCTCCGACCAGGATGCCTTCTTGGAGGTGGAGATTGAGATCCTTGCTCACTCTGATCATTTGCTCTGCTTTTCTCAGGTCCTGAGTGTTCTAATTACTCTTTTGAATGTGTTGGCCCCATTGTTTAGGTATGAAATGTGACAGATAACAGAGGTCTTTGAAGACTCAGTCAAGACGGAGTGAGGGGGTCGGTGAGGATTGAGGATACTTCTCTAGGGAGCACACACATACCCGGAGAGGCTCCCTTTGTCTGCCCATCCACCTCCTCACAGGTGGTTCTGAATGTAGCCTTCTAGCAACCCACATAGCAGTCCTATCCTTCCGCTGCTTCCCGCTGGGTGGGCTCCCCTCCCCTGCATTCTGGTTTATTTCTGTAGTCTTGTAGACCCTGAAATTTTTATGGTATGCAGGGGAGAGCAGGAATACCCACGCTGAGGAAGGAGGGCCTACTAGGGGGCGCTGGGGTATGTGTTGGGATGGTGTGGACTCACCATGTCCTTGCACACATGGTGGCTGACAGAGAGTCAGCAGGGACGGGAAGATACTCCCTGGAGCCCTGCAGGTGGAGGTCAAGGATGATGTCCTGAGATGCTCCGCGTCAGCGGACAGGGGAAGAGATTGGGCAGATGCACAGTAGTCAGACTTAGACCTCTGAGGAACTTCTGGGAACCAGCTTTGTCTCGAGGAGTATGGACGAGTCAGTGCATATATGAGGCCAAAGGGGAGGGGAGGCTTGAGTGTTTTATTGGCCAGTGTGGTCTGTGGCGTTGGTGTTCTGCACTGACAGCTCAGGAATTGGGGTTTATTTTCAGATAGGAGCTGGATCTCAGCTTCTAGCTGCTCTGTCGTCCCTTAGGTTCCCCTAAATACTGTCCTTGTTTATTGTTCTTGCATCAAGCATTCGTGTGCAAGGTGGGAGCCTCCCCCTGAGAAATTGTGGTCTCTGCTGCCTGCTGAGCATCTCCTCTTCCTGTTCTCCATCTGACGGAGGGACACGGAGACCAGTGAGGTGCAGGGAGGGATGGACACTAGTCAGGACTGGAAGTATCCTTGATAAACAAAAGGGATGGTAGGCTTAGTCCGATTACATAAAAACTCTGATTTCCATAAGAATAACGTTTTCCTTTTAAACAAAATTTTCTTTTGTGGTGAAATATTATTTTGCTTTTTTTCCCTGAGTTTTATTTTCATATTTTCTAGCTACTGTCACATTTTTCTAAGAATTTTTCATTTCTAATTTTTTAAGCTTATTGGTATAAAGTTGTGATGATTTTTTTTTTATCCTTTTAATGTTTACAGCCTGTTGTAGGATGTTAGACTCCTAATGTTTTTATGTCTTACCTGAATTTCCCTTTGATCTATCTTCAGATGTTCATTCAGTTTCAAATATTGAAAGAGTCAGAGATTGGCTTTTGTCATCCAGCGTTGTATGTCAGTTCTGACTCATCAATTTGTAGTCCTGTCTCCATCTCCGACCTTCTGTGTTTTGGTGGAGAAGAACTTTTTTGGTAAACTTTTAATTTGTATCGGTTGATAAACTTGTGTATTTGGTTCTTGATTTGTTTTCTTAAATAAACATGTAAGGCTATACATTTTTTTCTGGTTTTCTCTTAAGTATTTTCATGCTCATTCAACTTATAGAATTTTTTCTTTCCCATTATAAGTATTTGATTTATGAGTTTCTTAGAAAAATAATTTTGAAATTTTCTACTCTATATGAGAAGATAGTTTTTCTAAGTTTATTCTACTTTGGTCAAAGAATGTCCTCTATATAATAAACACTTTGAAGTTTGGTGAAGGGAGCAGTTGGAGCCATGAATGTGGTCTCTCTCTTTTTTTATGTTTCACGTGGATTTGAAAAGAACGTCTCTTTTGGAATTGTCATGTGTGGTGATTTCTATATGTCTGTTAGATTATGCTTGTTATGTGTTCGGTTAATCTTCTGTATACTTAATTATTGTTTTCTGATTATCACCTTCTGAGAGGTGTGTTCAGGTCTCCAAGTGTGACAGTGGATCTGTTTATTTCTCTTTCTGGTTCTGGTAAAGTTTGCTTTACATGCTCTGTGGCTGCTTGATGAAGGCATGGCACGTTGACACGCGTGTCTTTCTTCTAAACGGAACTTGACAGTCGTCTGGTGGCCTCCTCCATCTCTGGGTGAGTGTTCCTTAGCTTGAGATGGGATGAATACCAGTACACCCCAGCCTGCTCCCTTACCGATCCCTCGCCTGCTCCGTCTCTCCCACAACCTTCTGAGTTTCAACCTTTCTTTATCCTTGTGTGTTTCACCTATTTTTTTTAAAGCAGTTTTTTTTTTTTTTAAGATTTTATTTATTTGACAGAGAGAGAGACAGCGAGAGAGGGAACACAAGCAGGGGGAGTGGGAGAGGGAGAAGCAGGCTTCCTGCAGAGCAGGGAGCCCGATGCGGGGCTCGATCCCAGGACCCCGGGATCATGAGATGAGCTGAAGGCAGATGCTTAACAACTGAGCCACCCAGGCGCCCCTGTGTTTCACTTTTATACCACTGTTTTTAAAGATCCAGTTTCATAATTTTTGTCCCTAAGATTTTGTATTTGTGTCACGTTTTTCGTTCACTCTCCCTTGTTTTTTTTTTTTAACTTTATTATGTTATGTTAATCACCATACATTACATCATTAGGTTTTGATGTAGTGTTCCATGATTCATTGTTTGTGCATAACACCCAGTGCTCCATGCAGAACGTGCCCTCTTTAATACCCATCACCAGGCTAACCCATCCTCCCACCCCCCTCCCCTCTAGAACCCTCAGTTTGTTTCTCAGAGTCCATCGTCTCTCATGGTTCTTCTCCCTCTCCGATTTCCCCCCTTCATTTTTCCCTTCCTGCTATCTTTTTTTTTTTTTAACATATAATATTTGTTTCAGGGGTACAGGTCTGTGATTCATCAGTCTTGCACAATTCACAGTGCTCACCCACGTACCCTCCCCAATGTCTATCACCCAGCCACCCCATCCCTCCCACCCCCCACCACTCCAGCAACCCTCAGTTTGTTTCCTGAGATTAAGAATTCCTCATATCAGTGAGGTCATATGATACATGTCTTTCTCTGATTGACTTATTTCGCTTAGCATAATACCCTCCAGTTCCATCCACGTCGTTGCAAATGGCAATATTTTGTTCCTTTTGATGGCTCCATAACATTCCATTGTGTGTGTGTGTGTGTATACATATATATACACACACACATATACACCACATCTTCTTTATCCGTTCATCTGTTGATGGACATCTTGGCTCTTTCCATAGTTTGGCTATTGTGGACATTGCTGCTGTAAACATTGGGGTGCAGGTGCCCCTTTGAATCACTACATTTGTATCTTTGTCTCCCTTATTTCTTATATATTCCTTTTTTGCCTCTGGTTTTGTTTATTTATCATTTCGTTTTCATTCCTTTTATCTTTTTCTTCTAAAGTCCTTCACTGATTATTATCCCAGTTTAGCTTTGAAGTCTATAGTAAAGTATAACAAGTACTGAAGCTTAGAAGACTTGACCGTTGACGATACTCTGAACTAATGATGTTTTTGTCCAGTTTATTACTTCTAGCCTATTCTGTTCTCGGAAGTTGGACTTCCTGTTCTCTACAGTGTTTTGTTCATATTCACTCATTTACTTTGATTTTTTTTTGCCTGCTTGATTTTTATATGTCAGAGCTTTCATATAGGATAATGTCCCCACCTGAAATACATGTATCAGACTTTCTTGGTTATGGTCTGGAGGCTGTATAACACTTCAGTATTTCTTACTATGGAATGTTTTTATTTTATTCTCATTCTTTTTTTTTTTTTTTTAAGGTTTTATTTATTTATTTGAGAGGGAGAGCAAGAGTGCACAAGCAGGGGCAGGCAGAGGAAGAGGGAGAAGCAGGCTTCCTCCTGAGCAAGGAGCCCAATGTGGGACTCTATCCCAGAACCCTGGGATCATGACCTGAGCTGAAGCAGAT